CCTCTCTAACTATTAAGGATCTGAACGCTAAAGACTAAAAGACGTGTGGAGTTACTTATGTATTGTTACTTATGTATTTTCTATAAAATATAAAGCATACTGTCCTATAATGTGCTGTATGTCTTTGTCTTCACAGGAAACCAATATACCCAAAGAAACACTCATGACAGTCGTGAAACCTGGTCTGCCCACAACTGCTGACTTGCATGTGCTACTACCGGCAAACCAACCAAAAAGGAAGAGAAGTGTAACTAGTGATAAGGTAACCAGAGGAATGTATGGTTAGGACAGTCTTCATCCTGTTTTGCAATCAGTGGCTCTACACTTCATGTGAAATTAAAAGGTGCTTCCTAACTATGTAAAGATCTCACTCCCACCTGACAAGTATTAGTGTATTCTCAAGAATAACTAATATTGATATGTTTTTTAAACAGTAACAACACTGATAACATGTCAGTCTGTGAACATTTGGTAGAGAAAAATTGTATTTAGGACACTGATATTTCTAAAGAGGGGCAAACCATCTCTCCACTGTCTTCAGAAGCAAATTAGATTTCAGTTCAAACAGAAACAGAGCCTTAATAGCTGACCTGTAATGCAAAGAGCATCAAGCAGGTAGTTTCTGCCTTTATGAGCAAATGTCCTTTTCTGTTGGCAAGAAACAAATATAATGAACACAGGAGTGAAAAGCAGACATCAGTTTCTCCCTACTTATTTCTAAACCATATTTCTTCCATAATAAAAGACCTTATTCCAGTTGAAAATCCAAAGCTTGGCACTCACAATTTATGATATTCATCCTTTTATGGTGATAGAGAAGGAACAGATCCCAACACTGTGACTGTGTCTTGCAGTTCAAGTACTGCCAATTATGAAGAACCCCAATGTAAGGTATTGTTAATTTTGAAGGGCATTTTACAGCTTTTTGAGGCAAGGTTCCAGCATCCAAAGAGCTGGAGAAGTAGTTAAGATTAAGATCTTAACACAAAATGAGTAGATTGCATTTGGAATTGATGGGGTACACTATGGAAGGTCCGAAGCAGTTTGGTAATGTTGTCCAAGTACTTGAAGAGATGTCTTTAAAATGCGCAGTGTGAATTGTTACTTTAGATGCACAGAGTATAGTGTGACTGCACAAAATTTTCTGCTTTGTGGCAACCACAAACCCTTACTGCTCTCCCTCTGTAATCACAGTAGGAATTCGCGGGAGTCTGAAATCCTGATTATGTTGCAGGAAATGGTTAATTTTAGTAGACTGTTTCTTTAGTAGATAGCCAGTCATGAACTTCAGCTTCCAGCCAGGTGGATGTTACCACTTCAAAATTATTTGCATCTTTCCGCTTTTTTAAGAAACAAGATGCAGCTTCTAATAGAAATTCTTTCTCTTTATCCCAAGCATGTATGGAATGGACATCTTTAATAATTAAAGGGAATTGATGGTGGTAGCTTCCTTGGTTGTGCAAACATTTTATTTCAGTGCAACATGTTATGTATATTAGTTTCCTTTAAATCTCAACTGTTATATTAGTGCTGTGCTCCAAGGCAGCTTAAAGAATATCATCAATTACAATCAAGGCTTTTTTTCATGTTTGCCTATGAAATACCCTGTGGCTTCCTCTAAAATATAAAGAAGAATAATCACATGTTGCAAATTATTTGGGAAAACTTCTGTTGAGTAGAGCTATGGGGAAATTAGAGTAGTTTATCAGGCACAGTTTCTATAATAAGTAGTCCTCCAGTAAGACCTTGCAAAGGTTTTGTGAAACTAGAAGAGCACTGAAAGGTGAAAGTATATCTGGAGAATAGATAAATATTCCTGACATCGTTAGGATGGATCAGGACAGACCAGTGGTGGCTGGGGATTACACGTATGGAAACACCAAATATGGTACAACATATATTTTGTTGGAGCAGGTGCAAGGCAGGCAGGAGCAATTACAGTAACTTATGCTGTCCAATGATAAAAAAATCATGTATGTTAGTAACACATTTACACACTGATTGGTTTATAAAGTGCAATGCGGTAGACCCAGTGTTCTAGTGCCAGTTGCCTAAATTTCTATTTTTATGTTATTACTAATGGGCACTACTTTGGCTATTTATATGTGCATATAAGTTTGTTGATTTAGAATGGAATGGCACAAATTTTGATAAAATGCCTTATATCAGAATCCATAGAATCATAGAATCGTCTAGGTTGGAAGGGACCTTAAAGATCATTTAGTCCAACCATCAGCCTAACTCTGACAAAAAATTAAATAAGAAATAAGCAATAAAAAAAAAAAAAAATACTAAACCATATTCTTGAGGACCAGTCCATTGTGACTTGAGAAATCTCCTGAAATTATATCCTATGTCAATAAACTTAGAAGCAGTAACTAGTTAAGTGAACAGTGACTCGTGGTGTCACTTCTTTAAAGATTTGTTACATTCTCTTCTGTTAAGAGAAAAGAATCTTGAAGGTCTTCATCATGTTTCACTGGAAGAATGTGGTTTGTCATGCTGCTAGTACCACTCCTCAAAGTCAGTGTTGTGACACTACTGCAAGGACTCATCAATGCAGAATCTTTTCTGCACGTTTGGAGATGTCCCTGAAATCCTTAATTTAGACATTGTTGTTAAATGTCTTCCCTTGAGGAGAACCTATTTGTTCTTGACTTTTTAGATTTGAGATATTATATGATTTCAGAAGGATTGTTAAAAGCAATAATTTCTTGCTTGGGCGGAGAACACCTACTGGTTGAAGTTTTCTGTTGGTGTATTATTTTTGAAGTTAGTGGTCTAGAATAGGAGTCATTTCTGATAAAAGTAGCCAGCAATAACAAAGATCATAAGTAAGTTGGCGGCATAGTAATAGGAGCCCTTTGGATAATTCTGAACTTCCAGTCTGACAAAAGCCCTTTTTCTTTCAAATTTATGCATGTAGAAATAAAATCTGAGTTTGATTTAACCTGGTTTTAAGAACAGAACAATTTCAAAAGTGATTAATTCTAATCATTGACTCTAGAGGAAGACTTGGTTGCTTAATTTATGCACATCTGTTACAAGTCTAGTGTCAGGTGGGATGAGTCTGGTTGGAAGAGTCAATCAAAGTACATTTGAACTGTAGCCTAGAAAGTAGTGGCTCTGAGAAAGATTTGGGGCTCCATCTAGACAAGCTGCTACATGAAAATTCCTAATGAGTTGCTTTGGCAAAAGGGACAAGTCAGGCCCCTAGGTGTATAAGTGAGTGGGTAAGAGTTTGAATACTGTCGTTATTTTTGTATTAGTGCAGGCGCCATTGTGTATACATGTGCAAGCATTATCATTGGAAATGATGTAGAAAAAGAAGGTACAAGATTCAAATGCTGGTATAAGAACCTTAACTTAGAGAGTCTAGAGAGGACCTGCAAACACTTGATTTGTTCTCTAAGCAATTGGAGAGGTGACAGCACTCTGCTTAGTAAATACCTCGGGCCAGAAAAAAACCGCCATGAGTACTGAAACATCTATCAATCTATAGGTGAAATAAATAAGCCAGAACGTTTGGCTGGATTCACATGAGATTCAGATTTTTGACCTGTGGTAGTGTAGTTCATATAGGCGTTGGGGGGAACAAAGGGGTGGGGAGAGAAATAATGAACAAGCGTTAGTCACTTAAGCAAAAACCAGAGAAAAGTTGAATTCTTTAAACACCTGCCAGGAAAATATGATGTACCCAAAGTTATGGGACTCAATAGTTTAATTCACTGGCTGAAAGTGAGATTAGCCTCAAGTGGTGGTCCTTTCTGCATTGTATACCATGAACATGGGAATGAACCTGGAATGAGACTAAATAACTCTTTCAGTGGTGCCAGCAACACTACAAAGGCTACTAATCAGTATGGGTGTCATATCCATTCTCTTTTCAGATTTTGTGCAGAAAGATAAATACTCAGGAGCTATCTGGAGTAGTTGTTTTATAAAACAACTGAGGCCATGCTCACATCACCCTTATGCTGAGTCATTCCCCCACAAAAAGAAAGTGTAATAACATCAGTGGAATGGCCTCAGAAGTTAGATATTCCTCAATATGAGTAAGGATATTTGAATTTGAACTTTTGTGCAGTCTCTGTCCATAACATGAGAGAGCCTACGGGGGTTTCTATCTATTATACTGCAAAGGCTTGTCAAAGATGAACACTGTAATTGATAATATCATAAAATGAGTTGCTCGTGAAGGTTTCATGGATATAAAGCATTTTTCCAATTTGGCATCCTGTGGGAAGTCGTATCCTAAATTATAAGGCGTAGAGTATAAAACTAGCTTTGATCTTTTAGAAAATCACCCATGTTGAAGACACAAGCAAGTAGAAGGGAAAATTCAGACAATTTGTCATTTGGGGTTAGGATACGATGGTATATTTAATGGTTCTGCTTCATAAAAATGTGAGAGACCATATTTTACTACGTTCTATCTGCTGGAGAAAAATAGGAGAAATCTTGATTTTTTCCACATGGATGGGTGTATGCATTTCTACAGAGTATTGTTAAAAATTAGGTATAAATGGAATCTATCCCATTGCAGGTAAGGAGGTGAGGTACATTATGACATGCAGTTCATTATCAAATAGCAGTTACTTTTCATAGCAAAGAATCTAAGGTGACATTGCAGGTTATGTTCCAATAGGTTAGAAAAATTGACTGGTTTTAATACGGACTGTGCATTGTGTGAGTTATAACTCAGGTAAACCCCATTGCACGTGCAAATGATGTGCTATCTGTTACATACTGGATAAAGGGTCTGATAAGCAGAAAGAAAGATTTGGCTATAAAGTTAACATTTTCAGTTTTTTACGGCTTGGGGAGTTTTGCATGATTTTTAAATATGGAATTTCTTTAAGATTTCAGCTCATCGTTGACAAATGCTTTCTGAGTTCCTCAGCATTTAATGAACCTGAGGCTTTCTTTTTTAGAGCATTGAGTCGCTCAAAGTGGAACGGAGTGCGAGACGTCTGACATTCTCTCTGTTGTATTTTCAGAGAATAGCAGCTATAAAGCAGGCCTTGAATGCACACAACATCAGTTTCTTTCTGAGGGGAGGATACTGGGTCTTAGTGACTTTAGCTGACTCCAGTTCAGGTAAATATATATATAAACTCCCAACAGACCAACCTTTGGATGCTTGTCCGAGTTCTAATAAGTTAAGGAGAAAATCTTTGTACCAATATATATATCCATATATACACATACATATATATACTTACTTGATACTTGTTATATAGACACATATATACATATATGTTTATATATATATGTAAATATATGTATCTATATACACATATGTATATATGGATATATTTTTGATTGGTACTTGTTAACAAACGCTGTAAAATAAATGTTTCTTTAATATTTCCATTTAGTCATACTTTATGGTTTTTATCAGAAGCTTCTTGCTTTTTCTGTGTAACTGTGACATTAGCTATGACCTATGTTAACCAAAACAGTGCCCCAAAGGAAGAGCCAACCAGGCTTGAAAAAAATATATCTGTTGAAACACTTTGGCTGCACTGGCTGCCAAGAAAGCAGAGCTGCTTTACTTCAGCCAGATGTTACTCCAGGGGTCTGGGTAATAGCCTTGCATCTCTGCCTTGTATCTCTGATCTCCAAATCAACTGACGTGAAGCTTGCTGTAGGGTCTCCACATTGCTGATCCTGTCCTGAGATAAATTATATGCTCTTTCTGTGTTTAAAACTAATGGAAACAGGGATTCTTTTGCATGCATTTCCTGCATCTCTGGATTCACTGTGTACCTGGAAACTGGCTGAAGAGAGTATGTGTGCATACATGTGTATGAACATTTTGAACAGCGATACATTAAAGTGATGTTTTAACCAGAAAGTCCAGCTTTGACTTGAATGTTGTATTAGAATGTTCTGTAATTTTTATTTGTGTATCATATCCCATAATATATCCTCCTTTCTTATTGCATCGTGTTGGGGCGGAACAGCTTAGCTGACCACAATCAATTTACGTAAATACTGGTGTGATATTTTATCTGTCAGGTCTCTGTAGAAGACAAAGCTCTTTTGTCTAGTCTCTAATGTAGAATCATGCTACAGCTTTGCTGTGGTACCTCATCTGGTTTAAAGGGCTAACATGTGTTAGCCACCACAAAAGGCTGGAACTGAAAGAAGCCCGTGTTTATTCCAGCCTTTACCAATGTATGACCTTGATGAGTTCATTTGTTGTTCAGAACCTTAGTTTCTCTGTGAAGCTAATATAGCTCTGCTTTTGCAACACGTGTACTTAGGGTATGCGATAATTTCCTATGTTAACTCTAGATTCCCAGAAAAAAAGCACTGAGTGTTTAAATAATTAAATCTTAAGGGTTTGGGGTATTTTTTTTAATTGGTCCTCTGTTCTTCAGTCACAAGTCACCAATTAATTTTGTGTTGTTGCCTTTTTGAAGAGGCAATGGAGTGAAAAGATGAGGTTACACAAATAACAAAAAGTGGTTTTGACCTGACAATTAGATAGAAAAGAAAGGCCAGGAATGTGATGGATCTGAAAGAGGACGTGCTAAGCTGTTTTTTTTATTTCATATTCCAGACTCTCAGAGGATTGGAGGAGGCAGCGGCTACTGGGCTATTGTGGTTCTCTTTGTTATCTGTCTAGTCGCAGTTGGGGCTTTCATCCTCTACAAGTTCAAAAGGCAAGTAAACCTTCTTCAACAGCATACACATTTTTAGATTTAGGTTTATCCACAAAACAGCAAAACTGAGTTTCTATTTTGAAAAGGAGATTTCTTGAAGAATTGCAAAATGTCCGCTGCTTTGAAAATTGTGTTTTTCTGAACTTTTCAGACATCAAGGTAATGCACTGCTGCTTGCTTTTACTTGCTGTGTTCCAAGATAAATAGCAGCAATATGGGACCTACGGAGAGTTTGTTCAGCTTGTGTAAATAATATCATCAAGATAGAGAGCTGAGCTAAAATATTATTCCTGATTAATTCCTACCTCATTACTCCTAGCAGTTATGAATAAACTAAAGCTATCGGGACAATGAGTGCATCTGCAATGCTGATTTGCTTAAAAAAATGTAGTTTTATCAAAACGCGCAGCCCTCTGGATTTTCTCTTTGCACACATTACATTTTAACGGCTGGGGCAACGCCACGTAGAATGAGTGATGGAAACAGATTAGTGTTAATTTGACACTAGAGTGTGTTGAGGGGAGAGATAATTCTGGAAGTGGCCCTTATGCGAGACATATTCCCAAAATTGACAAGGGATGCCATACCAGCCTTTGACAGTCCAATGTATCTTTAGTCCACAGTTGATTTTAATCAGAGCTACTAGGATGCTGTGCAGTTTAAAGAATATTGTTCTTGCTCATGAATCTGTGTTATCATTGGCTATGCTTTTGGTATTTTTCTATCTCTGGGGCATTTAGAAGCTATTGGGTTTGAGCATACTGGAAACAAGCCTTCATAATCATCAAATCCTAATGTCCTTACTCAGTCAGGGTTCCTACTGTTTTGTATCATTTTTTAAAGATGGATTTTTATTGGAAATAAACACCAGTTTATAGAAATGGGTGCAGCACTGAGTTTGAATAGCAGTAAGTGTAGATAGCATTTAAGTAACAGTTTATTTAGATAAAGAGTTTTTAAGTCAATAGAGAAAACCCCTTATTTCCAAGAATCTTTTCATTTTCTCACTGCGGCACCTAAGTTTCTTAGAGCTTACAGTGGCTGATTGCTCTAAAGAACAAAGTACAGAATGCTGTATCAGACTGTCTACAACTGAATAAAAATCCATTTTGCTATTTTCGGTGCCTGCAGCAAGGAAAAGCATAAAAATGGTTGATGTGATGTAATTATATTATTTCAGCAGCAATAGATGGAGGATTTGCTGTTTGTAGTGGGGGATCATAAAAATTGTTTGTGATATCTTTCGAAAGCTGTATGATTTATATCTTTTATTAGCTCTTAAATGAGAGCAATTAAATAACAGACACAATTACTGCATGGAAAAAGAAGTATAAAATATTCAAGAAAGCAAGAAAAAAATAATTTTCCTTGAGTTTTTTTTCTCCAATGTCCAATGAACCATTGCTTTATAAATAGAGCTTTTATTAAGGAGGAAACTATAGTACAATTTGCAAATTGTGAGCTTTAATATGTCTTGCACTTCTATGTATAATTTGTGAAAATCATTTGTGTTTAAATTTTGTGGGGGTTTAATTTAGGTGCTGAGTGAGGAGAATTGCGAGATATATTCAGATGTTTCACAGTAGCCTGAAAACTGCTGTTGGCATTGATGAATGACCATGCAGTAGTATTCAATTTTAGTCCGTATCATATCTGTTTCTGAGATATTTGACAGAATTATTTTTTAAATACGCCTGCCAAGGTTTTCCAAGATGACAATTTTTTTTGCTTGCATCCTTCATTTACAATTTGATCTTCAAAAAAATAGTGAGTGCCTAATCGGTGCACATTGAAAAATCACTTTTTCCCTGTGTGCTCCCTGTGAACTCCTCTCCCACCCTAATCTTTAATCCCTTAAAAAAAGTCTTTGCTGTGTTTATAAAGATGGATGGTGGATTGCTGGATCCCCATGGAGTACTTAATTGCAGGTATAGCCCGTTTAAAGTCAGTACAGGGAGTATGTAAGTTTACAAACTGATCCATAGAGACTGAGGCTATGAAACCGAGTGTCCTATATAGATATAAAGGTTACAGGTCGTAATGCACAATGGCGGCTTGTCAATATTATATGCCTGTATATTAAAAATTAATTTGCTGAAAGAATGCCGTTGGCAAGAAAAATTGTTTGGCTTTAGGAGATAACTTCAGCAGAAGAATTCTTTCTGGGCCCTGTGGTAACTCAGGCATCACATGCAAATATAAATATGAATTATTTCCACATAGAAATTACAGATGAATGTAAAGTGTTGAAATGTTAATACTGTCCATAATTTTTATGTACAATTCAGGAAATTAAGGAGGTGGAATATACTTGGTGGTACTTTCCTTTCATTTATCTAAGTTGATAGTCAGATACTGTCTTGAGAAAAGGGTTAAAACTCCTTTTGCCTGGCCCTGATTTGGACAAAGGCTTATTTTTATCACTACACTGACTGGGTCTGTAGGACTCATGTGGCTTTGGGGCACAGGCAAAGCAGGTCATCTGCAAACAATTGCATGGACATGCCTTGGACTGTTCTCTCTCTCTTTGCTGGCCCAAATGTCAGTTCTTTACTTTAGGTTAAGTTTGATACCTGGAAAGCTGCAAGATGAAAAGACTGCCTTACAGATAAGATGGGGACTGGATTGGGAGGGAGGTTAGAGCTTCTACAGAAAATTGGGAAACCTGTCCCCAACTGCCTTATGGTTCCTGAGGGCCAAGGATCTGTTTCTGCTAAGCGTGGTCGTTGCTGTCTCTGCTCGGATTCTCTCTGAGGTTTGTGTTCTGAGAACCTGGATCTTAATTTACACTCATTTTTGTCAGACAGAACTGCGAGATGAAAGATGGTGTTGAGGAGACATCAGGGGCTAATCTGCTACCTCTTTATTTATGAATCCTTCAGGGCAATCAGGACAGCTATGATGAAACTTTCTGCTCCTGTTTGATCTGCCAGGTTTTGAAAACTGCAATACCCAGTGCTAAAAATTGGTGTTCCTCACCAGAAGTAAATCTCACGAGATTAGTTTGAGGGAGAGCAGTAATCTAAAAATAACAGTCCTGCATAAGATTCTGTGTCAGATGCCTCATATGCAGAAAAGGAAGAGAGTATTTTATCTAATTAAGTAGGGGGTTAGGGGAAAAACAGAGGCAGCATCATATAGAGGTAGTGGGATTTTGGCTGATTAGTTATATGCGAAGTAAAAGCCAACACAGTCTCACCACTCCTGAAGGAATGCCCATCAAAAAGAAAATATTAAAATATTTCCCAGTATTCTAATCAAAACTAAAACTGTAGGGTCTGATAGTCAGAGCTGCCATAACTATCTAGTTAATGATTAGGTGACTGCAGGTTATATTATTTTCAATATACCCTAATCCCAAATATTTAAACACTAAGATGACTGCTGCCCTCTTTTCTTATATACAGTAAAATTGCAAAGATCTATCATTTTGTATCTCTGCACCCACCCCACCCCCCAACTTTATCTAATGGCCTGTTTGTGCATCCAGTCACTTCTCCTCAGGAATACGTGCTCAGAAAAATTGTGCTGGAGTCCCTGGAGCTCGAGGAGTGACTCCTGGCAATCCCAAGTGGTTTGTTGCTTTAGACAAAAAAAAATACACTGCCAAAAAGACTTGACTCACAAAGAGGTTTTAACCTTTGTGATCAGCGTACCTAAACAATTCAGATTAGGGCTGTTATTACCCAGTAAATGAAAAGTAAATTTTAAATTATAAATGCCAATGGTTTTAAAAACTAATTCTAGTTGTGTCCCACTAATGAACAAGCATTGGTTTAGATATTTTTAGGGGAAATTTTCAGGATGGCAGTGAGGAGTGAGAGGTAATATCTCAGCTGCTACATCAGACTGTGGCTGTGGCACAGGAGGCCGTGCAGACAACAAACGTGGATGGTGGGCAAGCCAAGAATAATGTGCCTTTTCTGTGCTCTTACTTTCTGAGTATGGAAATCACCGATCTGATGCCTCAAGCAAACAGTATGTTACAATACTCACTGGTACGCTTCAGTTGTTTATGCATCCAGGTAAAATAGACTACAGCTGCTTTGTTTGACCAGAACAATATGAAGCAGCTGGAAAATATTTTTGAGAAATCAGGTCCATGTTTTTATGCAATCTGGGACCTGTGTCTATTTCTTCTATACCATACCATATTTACTAAATCTGGTTCAATAAAAAAACACTTATTTCATTCCCTTTGAAACAATGTTTATATTTTTTTATGGGTTTCCAATTGCCACCCAGAAAAGATTTCATCGTCCTTTCAGATTAAATTTCTATGGTTTGGGGACCTGGGCAACAGTATAGAGAAAGCAAATAGCACTCTCTCCGCTGGGGAAAGTGGAGAAAAAGAAAATTCTGTTCTAGCCATATCAGAGCTCCCATATAATCATTATGTTACTGGTTAGTGGAGGATTTGAAATCAGCCTTTTCGTATTTTTCACTTCTGTATAACAACAGGACACTAGAGTAGCCAAACCAGAGCAAATATTTGGCTTTTCTGCCTAGGTATTTTACCTGGTTAATAGTAGCAAATTCAATTCTCTAAGAGAGTATGAAAATCTTTATCTTTTAATTTGTATGCAAACTACTGCCAGTGTACTTAAAGCTGCATACATTGTTTTCACAAATCACCATGGATCTACTTCAGCCAAATTTATACGATTTTGTGTTTATTCCTTTTTTTCCCTGGTACTATCAAGTGCCACTTTTGGTAAATGAACCCCCTCCTGGGTCATTTCCACAATCTGGAGCAGAACTGTGTTATCTTTCTGCCTCATTGACTTACTATCTCATTTTCAGTCTCTGAGAGAAGCTGTCTTTTTTCCCCACCTTGCTTATACTACTTTTATGTTCCATGAGAGCAAGTTTAGTCCCAATCCATGCCATTTAGTTATAAAAAAAACAGGCACTAATTTAATGATCTATAACATTTTATAAAAACTTCCTCAGAAATCAAAGTAATAGCATGTAGGAAAGATTTCTGAAATGAAAGAGGTGAGTAAATCAGGAGTGCCTTAAAACACAAAGTCAGTCATCTGAACATTAATCCAAACATAATAAAGCCAACACCACAATAAAGTATTCCATTTAATGGATTATTATTGTTGTTAGTTTTATTTAAGTTCCAAGAGAACGCTATGTTATTTCGTATCCTTTGCCATGTGAATATGTTCCTGTTTTTTTATACTAAACAGAATCTTAATCAAGTCTCTGGAAAACGAATAAAGTTCCATAAAGGCCAATGAATATTGGCTCCACAAGGAAGGAATTGAAAACCAAGTAAGCTAGAGAGTTTAAATGAGTGGGAATCAATATCTCATCCCCCTCCTGCTGTTCCTTACTGCTGAACATTTTTAAGTGCAAACAGTTTTGAGTATGAACTGATTAGAATTTGTGAGTACAGGGAAGAAAAAAATGCTTCCTGGAGTATCTTCTAAAAGGTGTGGGACCTGGAGAGCTTGGTGAAAGCCATGTGCTGTGGTGCTCGTTAGTAGTTCTGTGCAGAATTAAGTCTCCAGTTCATATGGAGACTTACGATCCTCAAAGCAGGCATGAATATTTCTTCTTCATGACTGAAATAAAATGCTACAGAGAAAACAAAGGGGACTAAAAATGTAAATCATGGAGAGCTGCTCAGCAGAGGTAATTGTCTCCAGTGATGGATGTGAAGCACATGCATTTTGCAGCTGAAGAGTAAACCCCCAAAAGAAACAATTGCATAATCTTTTTTCTCTGTTCTTATAAGTGTGCTTTCAATTTTCATATTGCTGATATAAATCTCTTGGGTCAAATTTCATGTCTTGTCATGTTTTCACAGTAGTCTTTTATGTAGACCCAAGCATTTCAGCTCTGCCTGCTTCAAACAGTTACATTGGACTCAACATAAATTGCTTCCTTAAGAAGAGCAAAGCACATCAGGGTACACAAGGGTTTTTCTCTGTATAATTAGGGGTAGCAGCTTCCTTCCTACATGTTAGAGCAGTGAGGAGCGACTGGAAAATTGCCAGAATCAGGCCCATCTTTAGCAAAGATTCAATATCCACATCCTGTTTCATCCCACAGTGTGGTTGTCCTTAAAAACAGAACATCTGGCACATGTGTTAAAAATGACTCTTGAAAAGGCTTGGACTATAGTTTTCTTCAGTCTGGTTGAGTCTCTTCCTTGTAAAACTGAACTGATATGAAACACATAGAGATCTCTATAATGTATAAAAGGTCAAATGTCTATGGCGTATGCCTTCACGAGACCTGTAATATTTTCCTTCCTCCCATCTATACTCCATGTTGCAATCTAAGATGCTTTCCTCTTAGTATAAGGAGCAAAGGAAAGTACAGAAGAGTCACTGCGTACCTCAACTTTATACTTTCCATGAAGGATCTTAGCAGGATTGGGCTCATGAGGTTTAGGTGAGCGAGAAGTAACAGCTTACTCCTTTTCTCCTTTTACCCATAACCCACAAAGAAGTGCTTTTACAGTAAATTTAATGGTTATTTGTGAACTGGTGAGGTTTCTTCATTCAGGAACCCCTTAATATGTTTACCAAAATCACAACACATAATATTAATGTCTAACTAGTAAGTCTTACCAGAGTAGTGAGTTGAAGCCTCAGGACTTAAGGACACAACTTATGTTGACCTGGTCTCAGACAGGTCCTTCAGCCTGGGCAGACAACAGTTACACTAGGAGCTCTTGCTCTCTTTACTTAAGCGCAAAGATCTGATGTGCCATATGGGTTTGAGATGGAAAACACTTTTATTATGTCAAAAATATTTTGATAATGCCATTGATGCTCTTACAATCTGTCAAATACAGTTTTGAGAAGGTCCCCTAATTATTGCAGAAACATATGTGCTAATTCTGCAGATGTGTTGTGAAGACATTCTTCTGGGTTTCATTTCCCTTAGGCATTTGGTGGTGCACTGAAAGTGAGCAATTTGACAGGTTTGATGCAGGTCTGATTGAGAGGGATATTGTTCTCCACATGATCAGTTTCATTAGCAGATACATTAAAAACAGTCTGGAGTTACTCGCCCTAGAGAAAAAAGTCAAAATTAATTACCTAATGTATTTGTTTTGGTAATGAGGAATGTCCTTCCCCCTTTCAATGTGTTTTCCTTTTTAATCCAGTTAATGGGAGGAGAGTGATGCAGAGCTTGGCTTTATATGTATATTTGTGTTGGAGGAGCCCTTGGACCTGTTGAAATGGTCATAATAGTTGTGTTGTAGTTTCCATCCTTGTCCTTTGCATTTGGTTAGTCCTGTGTTTTATTTACTCCATGGTCACTGAGATATAGAAAACAGCAAGAGCAATCAGATTTCTTTCTTTGTGTTGCTTATAAATAATGAGATAAAATACCTGATTTCTGTATATATGTATAATTATGTGTGTGTGTATACACACATACCTATACAGATGGGGTGTGTGTATATATATATAGGATGCAATTAATTTCTTGGATAGTTTGAATTAAAGTGAGGAGATCTTCAGTCATCTTTCATTGTTTAGTACTGTCTATTTATTCTAATTACTTTGATGCAATAGAAGGTGCAGTTCAAAAAAGTTTGCTGCAGTAAGTTTTATCTTAAACTGGCACCACCTGGTAAAGAACCTTTCTTCTGAAATGACATTTAAAGATGGGTCATCTTCAAAAGCCTAGAGAAAACAGAGCAACTTGTGTATTTATCCAGCCTTCAAACTGCTTCCAGAATATGAAGCAGAAGATGGTCGTTCTTAAAGGGCTGTCTGAAAATTAGTCACTGTTTCTGTCTTCTCACTGTCTAAGGGAGCTCAGCAGAAACCACAGCTTAACCTCAGCAGTCAACCCCATTTTCTCTTTTCTTCTTGTTGCCTGCCCATTGCAATAATCAGTGTTTAAGCAGTGTTGATCTGCTGTCATGCTGATCAAGCTGTCATGCTGCTTCTTGCAGTGTAGGAAACAGTGCTCACAACCTGCAACTCCCTAATCAGAAATGTCTCCTTGGTGCCTTGGAAAGGATGTCCTTATGTGCCGAGGCAGATTACAGGTGAATGCAGCTAGAACAAAGGATATGGCTCTCTAGAAATGTTTAAACCATAATTTCTGTTAAAAATTTAGAAGTCCCTGATTATTCCCTTTGATTTTACAAAGTCTAATTTAAATTAATCTAGTTAAGAATTCTTTAACAATTCTTGCTCTTAAGCCTCCCAGGCTCAGCCATGGTGCTAATTGTCCAGTAGAGCTGATAGAGCCATTTAATAACAAGCTTTTTGTTTTTTCTAGATTCAAATCTGAATTAAATAAATGCTGTCTGCTATAGAAAGTTTTGTCTAATTCAGCAATTCCCAGTAGTCCTGGGCCAAGCTCTACTCTCTGTCGGCTTCAGTGCTGCTTGCTTAACTTCACTAACCTTCCCTGTCTTCTATTTGCCCTTATTGATGCCTATTTACCTCCTTGCTCCTGGACTCCTTTGCTCCCGTCTCATTCCCAGTCTCCTGGATTTTTCCTGCTTCTTTTTCCTCAACCCTGGTGGTGTATAAGAGTGCTACTTGATGCTATCACCCACCTTCAGTGTCAGCCCACCTCATCAGGGAGATGTGATCATAGAATTCTTTGGGTTTGAAGGGACCTTAAAGATCATGGGCAGGGACACCTTCCACTAGACCAGGTTGCTCAAAGACCCATCCAGCCTGGTCTTGAACACTTCCAGGGATGGGGCATCCACAGCTTCTCTGGGCAACCTGTTCCAGTGTCTCACCACCCTCACAATAAAGAATTTCTTCCTAATATCTAATCTAAATCTCCCTGCTTTCAATTTAAAACCATTAGCTCTCATCCTATCACTACGCTCCCTGATAAAGAGTCTGTCCCCATCTCTCCTGTAGGCCCCCTTTAGGTACTGGAAGGCTGCTATAAGGTTTCCTCGGAGCCTTCTCTTCTCGAGGCTGAACAACCCCAACTATGTTTTCATAGGAGAGGTGCTTCACCTCTCTGATCATCTTCATGACCCTCCTCTGGACCTGCTCGAGCAAGTCCATGTCCTTCTTATTTTGGAGGCCCCAGATCTAAGCACAGTAATCCAGGTGGGGTCTCACAAAAGGTGATGATTGTGGCTCAGCTTAGTGTTTGTGAAGACACCTGGAACCAGGAATGAACGCCTGTTGGGACATTTTGTGGCTTGAGTTCTTAAAAATAGCTTTTCTATGGGGTTAATTTGGTTTTTCCTTTTAGTATTGTTCATTGTCTGTCAAACTGAGTCAAGAAATTGATGCTTAATTATTACATTGGTATGAATATTGTGAATGAGGTTGCATAAAATGATGACAGTATAATGCATTGGTATGTTTAGATTGTGAACTCAAAATTAAGGAAGGGGGGGATTGGTACTACTTTGTGATTCTGGTGTGGCTTTGCTTTGCTGAAGCTCTGCTCTAATGCCAGTGTGTGTGTAACACAAAGGAACTCCATCACAACACTTTTTCTTCTTGTCCAATTTAGGAAACTGCCAGGCAGAAATGTCTATGCCCAGATGCACAATGAAAAAGAGCAGGAGATGACAAGCCCTGTTAATCATAGTGAGGACACCCAGAACATCATCCAGGGTGAGGAGTTTATTGATGATGATCTGGACTCTCAAACACTAGGTAACGCAAGAGGTAACTTCATTTTCAGTTTATAAATTTTCGTAAGTAATTGGTTTTTAATTAATATTCATTTTTATTTTAGCTTTTTTTTTAAATTTTTTGCTCAGTCTCAGGAGGAAGCAAATAGTTCACCACCAACAGAGGATTATCTGTTATCTTCTTTTATCTTGCTTGTGATACAGGCTAATGTATGGATGGCATGGTCTATAGTGTGAGTACAGCAATAATACAGAGTAATGTCAGGAGACTTAGAGAATTTTAGAGAGAAATTATGTTTAGTAGAACAGGATGTAAAAGGTAACATTTGAATTAACCCAATAATCCCATGTATTACTGGAAAATGACATTTAGGCCAGAAGGATTTGTAGAGGTGATGACTCCATTATTTCAGATGGATTTTATTTCAATCCAGTGCTATATTTGCCATAGTCCAGTGGCATTTAAAGTTTTCATTATTAGAAGTATTACATTTATTCCTGTATGAGAAGTATCATAAGTGTCCCCTATTTTAGCTGGTAACTTTCTAGTATTCATGGAGTGGTCATAAGGAACCCATGAGGGAAACTTTGTAAATATCTCAGTGCAAATGATTTAGTGTCAGGTAGAAGCATATATCCTGGCACCCTGTGGTTATTTTTAATGCAGCATAGATTGCTGATCTATAAAGTTAGTTTCTTGTAAAATTTACCATTGTGTTCAGACTGCTTTCAGGTCACAGGCTGAAAAGTGTAGGACAATGAAAAAGGCCCCAGTTCCATTTCTACACATTTTGTGAAAATAAATCAGATAACCCAGAGTCTTTGGGATTTATAGCAGGAAATTCATGGTGTAACAGGCAACTGTAATGTCTTCATGAAGCCACAGATGATGTTTTTCAGCTGCACCATAGGTAGCCTGGGGAAGGACAGAATTTTGGCAGAGGAGAGATGTCTTTATCTTGGGTTTCACCTTTATTGTTTGTTGTCAATTTCTTAATTTTCTTTTGTTGAAGTGTGTGCTGCTTCTAGGTTCTTGGAGGTGTTAGCGTTGAGCACAAGGGAAGAATCCAGCCTCCTGCTTTGCTTTGTTTATTTCTATCTTTTCTTTGACAACCTTTGTGTATGAGTATCACTGTGGTTTCATTCAGATTTTGCAAGACAACCTTGATTGCACTCCTGACTCTACCGGAGTTAGTTCTGAAAGCAACCCTGGAAAAACAAAGGCTATGTTAAAATTGTTTGATCAACTCATCTCCAGGGTCTTTAGAGGAGAAGGCTGAATGTTAACAAAGTCTTTGCAGACATGACTGTTAAAGCGGAGCGTTCAAACACCTCTAGTAACGTACAAAAGTGTAATTTCTTTTAATGGTAGAAAATCCCTTATGGCCTATTTATGTAAGGCAGCTTGGGATGCTGGAATAAAGAAATGCTACCCTGTAATGAATTCAGAAATAAACTCTACTTGCCCTGCATTCCTTACTTAATTGAAAAAAAAAAATTTTCTTCTATCTGGGCAGAGCATTATTAGGGTTAAAGAGTGCAAGATCATGATGTTTTGATGTGAAACTTAAGGCAAATGCAGATTTCGAGGTGATTTGTTCTTCTGCCAAGTTGTCAACACCAGCAGCATTTCCAGCGGAGCATTAAGAGTTCATTTTTGTGGATCATAATCATCCATATTCGTCAGCTACTGTATGCCTTTTAGACACAGGCATTATTTAAGACATAAAACTATACTTCTGCTGGCTGTTTTGTTGCTTGCAATACTTTCCACTAGCTCTGGTATCGCTCAGTACTGCCAAGAAAATATTCCTGTTAATGATGCTCCTCTATTTTATCTGGCTAGAGTACGAAACATATTATAATCCCTGCTTTAAATTAAATTCTAGTTTACAACCTTATTTGCAGAAGCTTCCTGTGCTATGGAGATCCCTTCTAGTTCTGGTGAGCTTTCTCCCTCCCTGTTGGGAGATGTCAGTAGCAGCCTCCGCTCCATGCACAGCAGGGAGTTACAGGCCTGGGTTTCTGTTTGTTCTCTTTCTTCTCATAACTTTTGAATTTCCACAGTACAGTATTGCCAGACTCACCCATCCACTTTTTTTGTTTTCTATATATTTTATGTTGCCTACTTTATCGCAACCCCCACCTTGGGACTCCTCAACACCATTACCTTGCAGTGACTCCTTCTGGGAGAAGTGGCAACTTGAACAGCTACAGAGTTCCCCTATTGCTGATGCCGGTCAGTGTCCAGTCCCAGGTCAGTGGCATGTCGAATGGACGCCTCAGGTTCCATTCTCCTCCCTCACCTGCACCCCTCGAGACAACTACACCTTTTTAAGCCACAAAGAGAACCAACTTATGCTGTCACTGGGATAGAAACCCTAGGAATTCGCCACAAATCCACCACCATGAGCAAAAGCTTTGCGCGAAAGTGTGCTGCTGTAGGTACATGGAGCTGTTGCACCAACCTTCACCTGACCTGTTGTTTGATAAAGCCACTCTCTTTATGCGATTGACTTGTCCCTGCAATAAAAGGGGTATTCATTGTAAAGTGCCTGAAATACACTAATGCTGGCCTTTTGTTTCTATATTTTTGTAGGCAATCACTCAGGCGTGGTTTTGAGCATCAACTCCAGAGAGATGCACAGTTACCTGGTTAGCTGATATTTACAGCTGAACATAAAAAAACGAAAGACTCTTCTCTGTATCATTTTATTTTTCCCTGGTGATGTCACAAAATTGCAAATATGGCTGTAAATGCTGGTGGAGAGGAGGTTCCTTATCGGTCCTGTGGAAAAATGTGTCCATCATCAGTTACCGGGGAAGAAGGATAATACATCTTGTGTTCACTCTATGGCCTGGGAACTTGTTATGATTGAAACTCAAACTATGGTAGCAGATTTGTAGCCCTAGGCACCTTCAATGCCACCTTCTTTCTTTTCTGTATGTGTTCTTTATGTTTATTTTTAGAAGGATTGACTGTAACTTTTTAACTATATTTTTAATTGAGGTATTCAGCAGAAGGCTGGAACTCTTCAGCCTGAAAAGGTGATTTTTACAAAAGCGACTAGACCAGAACAGATGGTTGGTTGATCACAATGACATTTTTTTCAGGAGGCTGAGTGTTTCTGTACTGGGAGAGGACTGAGCAAGGAGATAAATGCACTCCTAGTACAAACTCTTAGCTTAAACTTGTGTGAGACAATCTAATGAATTTAGGTTTAGGCCCTTCTGTGGATTAAAAGAAGTAAAGTGTTAATTATCATAATATAGGATAATGCTCTTGTAAGTGTAGCAAGTCCTGACAAACCATCAGCACCAGTATCTCCCCCAATCCCACCCCACGTGAAAGAAAAACACCAGCTTGATGCTGTTTCCAGACCAGGTGCCTTCACTTGTGGACAGTCATTTCAGTTTCTCTTTCTGGTCTCTTGAGCAAGCACCTCTAGGACGATGGCAGCTGCCAGATGAGCTATCCTCTGAAACCCTGTGCTGGAGGCCTGTCTCTTTTTAAATTTCCAGAGAGTGTAAATACCTCTTTTAAGTTGCTTTCTTTGTATGGTTATTTTTTAAAAACTTCCTGTTAGGGCAGAGGTGCCGGGTAGGTCAGAGCTCTCCCCTGGGCAGGACTGGGCAGCGCACCGCCATCCCCTTCCCACCCGCATCCTTCTGTGGGATTTTCCCTGGCTGTTTGCCCTTGCAGGCAGGGGTGGGCAAACTCTTACCTGACCTTTGCCGCTCAGGTTGGTTTGACAATCTGGAGGGCCATGATGGGCTGTGATTCAGGGGTTCATATTTCCTTTCCATCACGACAGGGTGTCATTGAGTCCTTACGGCCTCAGGCCCCTATTTCTCCAGGGAGGGTGGTTTGGCTTCTGAAGGAGCTGCCTGCAGAAAAGCTTGTGAGTCAGATCAGAGTTTCCTAATCCCTGTTTTGTGAGTTGGGTCAGAGTTTCCTTGTCCTGATCTCTGGATCACTAGGGAGAAGGCGGTGGGGTGAATCCACATCTGGCTGGTCTTTTCCCTGGGGTTTATGGAGCTGTATAGGAAACGGACAGTGGTGTGATGAGTTTAAACATCTGGAATCCTATGTATCACAGCTGCCTGGAATTAGGATGCTTCTCTCAGAAACCTATATAATCTCTTCACTTTTTGCCTTTGATAGAGAATAAATAGCTCTTTACTCACTGAATGTCATACTGATGCTAGTGACAAGCTCGCACACCACCTTGCTTAAGGAGGATACAGATAGCTAACTGCATCTTTCTGAATAAGCAGACAGGAAATAACAAATGCTGGTAAGGTAAGAAAGAACTCTTAAAATTATTGTATGCATTCCATATAGCTGTGGATATCCTAGAGCATATTGTCATCAAATGCATTGGACTGGGATGCAATGATTCAGTGTAGTACTGTAGGCTCTCTCAAACCCCACGGGATGCATATGTAAAGCACAAGAAAATCTAGATTATGAACTTACTGTAAGGAACTAGGTGGAAAAGTTTAAGTGAAGATTTTGAAAAGTGCTTGCAAACTCCTCAGGAAATTAATTTCAAAAATTGTTCCAAAATTTCTGCCTATGTAGTCATGGAGTGCCATGCAAACAGATTTCCAGAGAAGCAATGCTCTAGCTGACTGTTATATGCCAGGCTGTGTAGAAATCCAAGGTGTTACATGTATCTGAGTCTGGGTTTCTTGAAGAGAAGTGAGCATATAAAATGTGCTGTGCATTGGAAACTCTTGGTATCGTTGCACCAGAGGCTCTCCGTCCTCACTAGCCCTTTATGCTTTCGCTAATGGAAATGAGCTGGAACAGAGAATAAAATAGTATTACAAACAGCTTACCTGTTCCTGTGAAATAGAACTGAAGTGGGTTATTTATATAGGGCAGGTGATAGCGGATTAGCCTCATGGATAAGGGATGGGATAGAAGTTCTAGCAGGGGTTGTTCTCCCATGCTTCATCCGATTGGCAAAGGGCACTGTTGGAACGAGGTCACACATCTAATTTATGCTTTAACAGCTACTTCTATACATTTAATACAGGGTGGTTTGTGTCTCTGATAACAGGAGTCTTTTGGAACGCCGTAGAATATTTAACTGCTTGGTACTCTAATTAACACTTAGCACAATATAGTACCTGTAATAATTTTTTTCAATGGTTATTAATTTGATTCATGCAGCACTCCTGTGAGGTTGGTTTGTCATATCTTAAAAACACTGTTTTCTAAAGAGTTGTCAGTATTGCCATAACTGTATTAATAATAACCAGCAGATAATAAAGGAAACATTTTATTCCCTGGCAAGAATAACTTTTAAATTAATTATTTTAAAACTGAGAAAATACCCTACTGTTTTTCCATTCATGGTGTCTTGATTTATCTTTAAATGAAGTCTCACTAGTGCTAAGTTTTGCATCTCTTGAATTAGATCCATGACATCTTAGCATTTTATCCTTTATATGTATCTAAAATCCTATACACGTGTATACTGAAACACAGAGTTGTTTGTATGCACAACTGCTAGTCACACATGCACGCACACACCCATGCAGTATTTGTACATTTTCCAGTTAAATTTGTTAGTGAGGAAGGGTGATTTGATGGCTGAGAAACAGGAGATGGCTGTCAGGTACCTGGATTCTGTAGCCAGACTTTGGGCAAGTTACTTAACCTGTATGTGCCTCATTTTCCCCACCTATAAAATTGGGCTGATAGCAATTACCTACCTCACAGGGGTACTGTGAGGCTAAATGAATCACTGTTTGGTCAGGATTTTCAGAGTGAAAGAATTTTGTGAGCATATATTATTACTTTTGCTTTCTTTGCTTTACTTGTAATTATCACTGTTATTAAAGGTAGTTTACTGAAACCAGATGCAATTATATATAAAAGTAAAAAATGCGTAATCCAGAAAAGGTACATCACTGTTTAAGAAACAAACAAATAAAAAACAAAAAAAACCTCCCCAACCTGTTATTGGAACCTATTGTTACATGGTAGCATTTAACTAAGCTACACACTAGTGTCTTAAACTTCCTTTTCTGCAGTGTTATTTGGTCAAAAGCCTTATAATAATGGGTACAGTAATACTTATCAGCATTTATAATGAACCGTACTGAAACCAACAAAACTGGTGGTGTATTGGCCTCATTTACATCTTTTGACCTTCTTAAACTCTTACGTATTTGCAATTCCAAAACCACTCTGTAGTTTTCGGAGTGCTCCAAGCAGTACCGATTTGAAGCATTCTAGCAGAGCCATCAAGATTTACAGCTGATATATTTGCTTTTGCTTTTGACATTGAATGTTTTATATGTCTTTAGAATGGTCCATTCATATAAAGTGCTCAGAAATGCTCAGAAGACATTTAGGGAAAATCCACACATAGTGTAAATTAATTTCTCAAAAGTAAAAGCAATATAAACCAATATATGTTTTTATACCCTGTAGAAGAGGGTGGTGGAAATGACTGAAGAAATAGAAGGTGCCAGCCTGAGGCAAGATGTTGTTATCTCCAATTCACATCCAATTTCTTTGAACAGTTTTAGGATATTGTCTTTGAATTATATCCTTCTTGATGAGTTTCCCCCTCCTTGATGAGTGACCGGTGTAAAGAGGAACACAGTTTTTATTCATATAGAGTAGATGTCTCTGGACAGGGAAATCAGTGCTTTGCCATTGGTAGTTCCTAGCAGAAAGCAGGTTTCATCTGACATGATTATGATGGATAGTTGTGTTTCAGGTCCAATGAGACATTCCTCTAGAGGGAATACTCTATGACTGCATGCTGTCTCTTTAATAGAGGTCAGCAGCATGGAACTGCAGTGATTTTCATCTTCCTTCCACAAATGTGTGCTCAAAAAAATGGGGTTTTAAAATTATTTCAAGCATATACAGTAACTTTTTTATGATGAACCAGTGGTTCTGATATGAATTTCTTTCAATTTCTAGTGTCGTTTCAAGTCGAATACAATGTTGCCTGGTTGATTGAATTGATGACAATTTCAGTCATAGTTTTTTTCCTGTTTCCTGTAAAACAATGTTTTGTAATTTTTTATTAATGAGGCTTTGGGGGAAAAGAGGGATTAAAATTTTTATTTCATTGCAGAATCCCTGACAGTTGGAGTTGTTATTGTATATTGATTGATACCGTTGTATTGTTTCCATCTTCATTTTTATTTCAGAGTTTTAGATGAAAGTAAGTAAACATTTCTCTCAAAATATTGGCTTTCCGCCAGGAAGAAGTGTATAAGCATTTACCTTTATAAATATTGATTTCTGCAATGCTAAATTTTGTTCTGTCTTCTAAGTCCAACCAAAAAGCTGCTTCCTGGTTCATTTTCTCTGTTTTAGTCCCAATTGCACATTGCCTTTAGAACTGTCTTTATGAGACTGGTATACTAGACTACAGTCTTACTAGTCTGAGAAAATCTTTCTAAAAACTTCCATTAGAATAGCATTCAATTGCCTAGAAGTAGTTACAGGATCTGCCCAGACCATGTTCCTAATGTCAAGTCTATATTTTTATGTTCCTTATTTCCTTTCATTATTTCAGTGTTAGCCCCCTCAGTGCCATTTAAATGCATGTTTATTCCTGTTGTGGATGTATATGTGATGTTTTTTACTTATTTTCAGGCTATAATCTGAATAGTGACAAATTTTGAAATAACTCAGACCCCCAGTTAGCTTTTGCAATTAAGAACCTGGCCTTGCAGCCTTTGGGAACTGTCAGGCTGTGCCCTCTTAATTATTTAATCTTTTTTCCTAAATCAGCCCTTCCACCCAGTGGATCACCTCGGAAGCTTTTCTTCCAATTCATTTTGTAACCTCAAGCTGGAGGGAACGCAGACGGGTTTCGCAATGTTGAGATGGACTAGAATGGGTCACTTCCAAAATCTGAACAGGAATGTCTGTGGACAAAGTTTTTATTTTTCCATTCTTTTCAAGTATGTTAGCATGCTGCAGAGAGGATTATACATACCATCAGAGGAATAAGGACGAATAATGGTACTATAGGATGGTGTGAAGAATAGAGAATACATTCTTCCTTTCTTTTTTTTTTTTTTCTTTTATGAAACTGATATGTACAGCAAGTTAGTTTCATTATTTTTAATATGTGAGATGTCATTTCTTTAAGTCTTTGGCCCTGGCCTTTTTCATCCTGTTAAATGGAGTAGCAAATTACTTAAAATATGAATTATGGAGCCATGTATGTCCGAATGAGAGATTTTCATTCTTTTCATGTCTTTTTTTTTTTCTTTTTTTTTTTTTTCATATGTGAGGCTTGTCAGAATTACTATTTTCAGCTAGTTAATGTGCTGGTAGCTGAGATGATCTTCTCAGTATCCGAGACAAGAAGTCCTGCAAGGCTTAGTAATGCATACTCTGAAGTGCAACTATAGAACTATGTAAATAGTGCTAGGCTATGAACATGCTGGACAAAACAATCTTTATCAAAGATCTCTTACAGTTTCTATTAAAATCCCTTTTTTTAATAGTCTCTCTAAAAGTACATGTTTTTAATTGCATACTCTTTGTCTCTCTCTCCTTCTGGATTGATTTTCTTTTAGGAGTGACATTTACTAGTTCTGAAAAAAAGTGGATTCTTTCCCTTACACAAGTAATTCTGTTTAAAATTATTTCCTTGCATTACGCAAAGCTGAGCTTTATTGATTGGACTTGATTTCTGAGTTTCTGTAGAATTTGCATCTCTATATTAATATGTTGCAATAGAGTGGACATAAAGTCCTGTTGGGCAGCAATAATACATGTGGCAGTGCAAGGTGCTACTTAAATAATATACCTTTGTTGCACATATTTTTAGTGGTATAATGAGTATGTTAATCACCATGAAGACCAGGTGTTCCAAATAACTTTCTTAGCATGTCTTATATTCCTATGTATTTATTGCTAATTTTAGCCAGCTTTTAATACTTATATTTAGTTCTTACTGACAACGTCTGCTCTTGCAGATCAAAGGGCAAGAATTAGCTTATTCTCTTTTTTAAAAATAGTATTAGTTCACAGCATTTGCATATTAATTAAAACAGTTTATAAAGGAATTTTTTCTGAAATGGTGAAAGAGATGCTTTTTAATGAGAACAGCTTATATAGGAAAACAGGAGACTTGTATGCACTTGGTTTTTGAGACATTCTTGTTATGGATTGTGAGTGGGCTGGACTATGCAGGAGTTGTACACCCCAAATATCAGTAACATGCACCTAGGCAGTTTCCAAGTGATAAAACTAGTCTAAAGGAGAATATTTTAATACACCACTTACATGTGTGTAAAAGCCCCTTCACAGAAGGGCTTTTAAATAGTTAAGATTACAGAATATCATCACAAATTTGGGAAGGTGCCCAATTCACTGGCTCCAGTTGCTGTTAAATACACTCCTGTCTCTCTTTGGGGTTCATCTTTTGAGATGCTGAAAGTGAAGTGGCTTGTGTTGTGTAATGCTTCCAACCTTTTGCTAAGTAATTGGTGACACTTCATAGAAAAAAATATCTGAATTTCCATTCTCTTCTGTTTCTCCTTCTTTCTTCCTGGCTCCTTTTTTGTCCTTTTGTTCTTTTTCATTATTGCTGCTGTTTGTTGCTCTGCCTTGCCTGCCTTTTCCTCCTGATGACAGTTCTCCACCGTCCATTTTTTTCTTCCTTGCTTTTTGTTTTGTTTTTTATTCTGCTTCTATCTATATTTTCATTTGGATAAACACCCTACTATGTCCTGAGTGCTTCATGAGAAGAAGAATCATGATTTCTTCCCCATCCCTGTCTGAGCTCTGCTGTGTTATCTGGCTTGATGTAGGTCCCCTGTGCTTTGCCCCTCTGCAGTCTTTTCTTCCTGATTTTTTCCCACTTTGGTTCTTTTACTCTTTCTTTAAATTTTGTCTCTCATTTTCTCTAAACCTTTCTGGCACTCTTCCCTTTAGCCTTTCCAGGAGTTCTTGCAGCACCTTGTCCCAGAAAGCACATACTTAGTCTGAGATGTGGATGAATATTGTACTCCCTGGAGGAATAATAAACTTATAACTAGCATTTTCTCTCTCTCATCCATGTATATATTGTAGTGGAAAATACATATTTAATTGACAGACAGCTATACCCATTACCAGCAATTCTGCCTCATTTCAGGTTATGGGGATGAGACATGGTGTTTGCATGAGCTTCTTGGAGCTCAGCGAGGGCTGCCTTGCTTTGCCAGCCCTTCAAACTGGCAGATGCAGAATTGCAGCAAGGTTGGGCAGGGACACCTGGCCAGACCATTAGGCTACATCTGCTTTTCAATATGGGAAATACTGAGTCCCAGGTTAGTACATCACTTTAAGATAAATTGTTAAGAACCTGAAGCTGAAGAATAGGTGAAATAAAGAGGGTCCATTGCTAATAGAGGAGCAGGACCAGGGATCATTCCTCTTGGGAGATGTTTGACTTTGTCAGATTTGTGGGAAGGGTCTATATGCAGATATTCCTGGAGGCAGAGGCAAGTGCCTTGCTTTCAAGTTCCATAAAATACAAATTTTAGCGAAGACATCATGTAGGTTTGGCATAATCTTCTTATTGGGGGAGTGTGGAGAAATTGATGAGGGCAGATAATTGAAAAGCTCAGCAGCATCTTTGTAGGGTAGAGCTTGTGTTAGAGAGGAAGTGTATGTGAGAAAGATGCAGGACAGAGGGGAGCACAAGACTAAACAGGACAGAGAAAAGCAGGGAGAAACTCAGTGTTACCTGTGTGTATTATTTTGCCACGAGTTGTTGATTTAATTTTGCTTAACCCTTGGATCTTACTTTAATTCGTGATGGCCACTATTTTCAGTTTTGTTGGTTGCGTACAGCGATGTTACACTATAAGTCTAAATTGATGTAGAACCAGGAACATGCGAAATTCTCAGCATTCTACCTATAATTTAAGAGGGATCTGACTCACAGCAATATCCCCCTTGAGGTAGATGGGAAAGAGGTTGCTTCCCAGGAGCCATGATGCATGTGTGTGTGGTCCAGAGGTAGCTCCAATGGAGGTTTACTTCTGAGATAATTTTAGGGCCTTTGTTAATGGTGTTCCTCCTTACCTCAGCACTGAGCTAGGAGGCAAGGGAGAAGAATTATTTTATAGGGTCTGAGTCTTGGTTTTATACTGCTTAAATGTAATTTGCCAGAATCCCTCTATGAGTTGTAATTTTATAATGTTTAGAGAGGATGAATGGAGTTGGTATAGTATTCCTGAGGGTAAACACCAGCCACTGGAGTTTACTGAGCATGTGACTAGAAATTTTAATTTTGGGAACACAGAGTTCCTCCATTTCATATATACACCAGACATGAGTATAGCTCCTTTTTTATTTGTCACTGACAAGCTGTGATTTATTTCCTCATGGGTGTATGTCATGGGCTGTGCTTGCTGCAGTGCAGAAGGCTCTGGAGGGAAAACGTAATCGAATGGAGAAGTATACTTGAATTCTCCCCTCTTGATCCCAGTCTCTTCTGAGTTGCTTTTCTCTGATTGTGGTTTTGCCAGTATGCTGGCTTGATGTCAAAAGGGGATTAATTCATTTTTGTTCTCTTCTGTGTGGCTGAGAAAAAAAAAAAAACACAAGGAAAACTTTGCAGAGGAGTAGCGGATTGGAAGAGGTGGGGAACTTGATCAGCTGGCAGGATGCTTTGGGAAGCTTCCACTGTTGTGCTTTACTTACCACTTATTTTTACAAATATGTACAGCAACTGTGACTTACCTTTCCATTAACCATTGATATATTTCTTTGCAAAAGGAGAGGTGGTTCTAAAGGATGTCACAGTAGTGTGTTGCAAGTGTGGTTTTAGGAGACATCAAGTATCACCCTTCCTCACCTAAATGAAATTATCATAATATCATTGCTCTGTATTTATGAAGCTGCACTAGGAATATCAATTCACCTTGGATTAAGTATTGGAGGAAGATTTGGAGAGATAATCAGAGTTGGAATGGTAGAATTTTTCATTTTGAGAATAAAGGATGAGTACTGGCATATTTACAGTGCATCTGTGGCTGTTTCAGCACAGGTGGATCCGAAATCTCTCATTCCAAACTCGGACAGATAAATCATATAGATTTTGCTGGCATTACCCATGTAAACAAAAGGAGAACATATTTGCCATTAAACCAAGCCCAAATCATATTTTTTGGCTAATTAGACCTACAGCTCTTGGTAAAGATATGAAAGCCATTAAACTAGTCTTGACATATTTGTGAAGATTCACAAAGCATTTCTCGCTACCCTGTTGTTCATGTGGAGCATTGTTAATTTGGCATTGCAGAGCCAAATTCTACCCTAATTTATGACTGTGCAGTTCCACAGACTTTGTCAGTTCAGCTTTGTGTTATGGCAGAAAGGTTCCCACCCACAGTGAATTAGAAATGTAGCTGCAGGCTAAGATCAGTTGTCACGTCGCTGCATCTGTACTCACGCAGGTGATGGGCTGATTTTCACCTGTCATTCTTATTCCTGTGGTTAGCAAGAGAGTAGAACCAAGGCAGAACTTAGTTTTTGAACAACTTGCAACTGTTTTTTCCAGAATATGATCAGCAAATGCTTAGCACTGTGTTTCTGACCAGATTGCTGACAGAGGAGCCCGTCCAACCTGTGTAAAGGCTCCTGGCAGGCATTGGTATGCTGTAGTCCCTAACTTTAACACACATACTACGCTGTCCTCTCCTTTTGCCTTTGCACACTCAACTAATTGTGAAAACAGTACATGCCTTTTCCTAATTTTGTTTCAGGAGACCTTGACTTTTGAGGAGGTTTCTTTGTATACATGATCAGGGCTCAAGGGAAGAATGGAATCAATCCATAACTGGTGCGTTGTCATAAATGGGGAAAAATGTTATTTGTATATTTTTGTAAATATGTAACATTTAATGGCAGTTTTGTAGTGACGTGCTGTTTTTGAGAAATAAAAAAATCAAATATATGTTTGAATATGCTTAATGTAACACTTAACTGTGATTCAATTGCACAATTAATAGCTTAATCAAAAGTCTTGTGCAATATGTAGTGCACACACATAACCAAGTATCTGTTAGTGATCCACGACCAAGTTTTTGGCAACTCTTAACGATGGCGATGAACTGTGCAGTACAGTTTATCATGGTCTCTTTCAGCTTCCAAACATGTAGCAGGCAAACTACTGTATACGTACCTGTGTACTCCACTGCATCCAAAGGTATGCATTTGTCCTGAGAACCTGCACTACAGGTTTTTCTTTAATAAAATTTGGTTCTGAACTATTGGTTGCTTTGTTTTTTTTGTGAAGCACTTCATGGGATTCGTGGAGGGGAAAGGGTTTAACCACCCCCCAGAGTTTGTATGTGTGTGTGTGTGTTTTGATTTGTCAGTAATTAGCAGCAAACTGCTCAACTTCAGCAGCGCTGAACTCAAAGGCTGCAGCAAAGCTTCATCCTCCTCCACTTTAGCCACTCCATCCTCCTGTACTGCAGCTCAACTCCACTCCTCGGGAAAATGGGAAAAATCCTTCTCTCCTTTTTCCGCGAGGAGTGGAGTTGAGCTGCAGTATAATTGGCGTGAGGGTGACACTCTGTGGTGAGACTGAAGCCGTGCAACTGCAGTCGAAGAAAAAGAAATGTTCTTCTAGAATTCCACTGAATCAAAGGCTGAATATTTCTGTCTAGCTAAAAATTAAAGAATTCAGCCAGTTTTAACCTTGTTATCCCTATAATAGAGATAAACACAAAGAAGCTCTGTGTGTTCTTTTGCTCTGCCCTTGTCTTTATTCCAGTATTTTCCATTTTTTTTGGCTTCTTCACACACTATTTTTTTTTTCTTTATTAACTGTATTATTTTTCCTTTATCACACTCTCGTCCTGAAGAGTTGCCTGTCCTGTATAGAAGAAGAGCAGAGATGTTGCTAAGTGCTGTGGTCTTGGATGTGCAATGTGAAGTCTCACTAAACCTCATACTGGAACAAAGCAGCAGCATGAACTATTGTCTACCAATTTTTTAATTAGCCATGGAAATTTTATAATGATTTATAAATGATTTAATTTTATAATGATTTATAAATGATATAATTTTATAATGATTTATAAACTTACAATGAAGTTTTAAGTGGGAAAATGAATGGATTATTTATTCAGGGAATGGGTATGTTTTGAGGATCAGAAGATGGGCAATTAGAAGGAAAAATTTCCAAAATATTAGTTTAAACTTAATTTTCTCAGTCTGCCCTAGTTCAGCGCTTTCTCATAGTCCCTGCTGAACGACTTGGCAGCCAGAGGAACCCCACAGTATGGGCTACATGATTCTACTCGGTGGCACATTGTGCTAAATGTGAGGCTGGGTTCAGAAATGAAGCTTGAGGCTTTCCCTATTTGCGTAACTCAGCTAGAAAACATTTTGATGGTTGTCATTTTGGGTTCCCTAATCCTATATTGCAATTTATCACTAAAAAAGCCGCCTGTTAAATCTCAAGTGACTACGTTTCATTTTCCAGATTTACTGCTCTGATATAAATAACAGCAAAAGCAAAAGAAATCCTAAAATCTCTTATTTTTAAAGATGTTCTGATAGCTCTTTCTGAGGAAAGCTCCTCAGTTGGAAGGGCAGGAGAGAGAACAGACATGGCCAAGCTGTTTCCATAAATGAGGTACCAAATGAAAGTTGCCAATACTTAACCTGAAGGGCTACTTAACATCAGAAACCAATTGCCACGGGAAAAAAGAATAAGATAATCACTTCACTTCTGTTTCCTTTGCTGCACTCATCAAAGCCATATTAATTGCTATGCTATTTGAAGCCTGATTTCAATATCATCATAAATTATGTCTCTATAGTAAAACTTCTGAGTCATAAATACCAGACAATATTTTTTCCTGTTTTCCGTGATGACACTGATTTCTTTTCCGCTTTTTTTCTTTTTTGTAATTTATGTCTTGAAAGATGCTTTGCTTTCATATGACTCCATCTGCTGTGGTGAAAATGTTACCGTACTCTGATCCTCATGGCTTTCAAAAGCTGAACCAAAATGTTGTGTGCTGCTCAGTGTGTTTTTAATGCGATCAAAGGATCTGTTCTCACCATTGCAGCATCACAACACAAGATGACCTCCAAAAAAATCAGAAGCCTTACAGGCTAAGAAAAACAGGTTAAAAGGTAATAATTCTAAGAAATAATTCAGTGTCAGCAATTATCAGTCTGTTAAAAAAATAATAATTAAGAATGAAGCTTTTCACTGAAGTTCAGCTCAGGACCGTGTAGCTGTATTTATACTGAGCTGTAATTCTGCAAAAATCTAATAGGAAAATTACTTCCTTGTCATCAGGAGAGATTATTGTAGAGGAATATCCTTGATGTAATTTAATTCTTTCAATTATCTCATATATTGGGAAGGAATGACATTGCATTGTCTTGATTTTAAGACAGATGCTCGCTTTAAAAATCAAATTTAAAAGAGGGTGATACATTATTTTATAGGAGAGAATGCTTTTGTAACTGCTGGTGGGAAAAATTAAATAGTCTTTTATGAATGAAACCAGCTTCATTTCTCAATAGCACTATGGCAGGGGAAGAGGGGGAAGCACATGAGGACACTTACCCAGTATGCACTTCCAGCCTCCATCCACCATGGACCTGGACCTTTTTTTTTTTGGAGCTGGTAGCTCTGTGCTTAATAGCCTGAAGTAATTATTTTCTGCCATGAATTTTCTTTATGGAGCTGTATAAGCTTTTAGCATCCATAAAATTCTGTGGCAACAAGTTCCATAGCTGAATTAGGTAGTGAGTGAAAGTACCTCTGTGTAGTTGTTTTGAGCCTGCCCCATTAATTTTGATAACCTCACAGTTTTGTACCATTAGTGACAAGGACTATTTTATTCCCATGTCACATTCTACTGCTGATTTTTACAACCTCTTAATATATTCTTTCCCCTACTCAAGATTTTTCTTTTTCACACTGAAAACCCCCTATCTTTGTTTCCCTTTGAATTTAATTGCAAAAATCAGTGTTATTTTTTCCCATATGGGGTGGTTACTGTACTTTTGGATCTCTTTCTTGCTCTTGTACCATCACCTATAGGAATTTATGTACTTAGACAATCAGTGCCCACTTTTTGGATCATGTTCTATAGGTCCTAAAGCAGATGATGGAGGAATCAAAGAGGGCAGGTGAGTGTTGTTCTTCTTTTAGCACTTGTTTGTAAAAGTTCTTGTGCATAGCAGTTGTTTTAGTGTTATCTTTATCAATGGGGACATTGGGTGCCCTGGATGACCGGTATTATGACAGCCCATGATGCTTTGTTTTAGATTTTTTAGATTGTGGATTTGCTATGGGACATTTTTTGCTTTTTTTTTTTTTTTTTTTTTTCTATGCAGTACACGGATGTTTTCTTGGACCTGTTAAAACTCCATGATCATCTTTGGGTGTAGTCAGAGCTATTTTGGTGCACATAATTATCTAGGTTGCTTTCATTGCATTTTTTTTCTTGTTTCCCTACAGTTCTTTCTACGTTTATCTACATTGAATTTCTTCTGACATTTTAATTACTAGTGAAGTTGTGAAAGGTATTTCTGGAAATCCTTGCAGTTGGCTTTTAGTGTTATTGTCCTGCATAAATTAGTAGCAGCAAATTTTACATTATTTTTTTTTTCCCCCCAATTCTTTCAATTATTCTCATATGCACAAGACCCAGCCCTGTGGGATCCCAAGGCTGACTGGAAAGATCCAAGCCACTAGAAATAGAGGTTTTATGCCTATTTTTTTGTTTGTTTACTAACCAGTTATTTATTCTGTTGGGATTTCCCCCTCCCCACACCTTTTCTCCAGTAGCTACTTAAATCTTTCTAATGACGGACCTTGTCAAAAGTGGGATGAAGAAATCCAAGCAGAATATGTTATTTTCCTGGATGTTCATTAAAGTCTGTGTTTCCAGACTTTCTCCCTCTCTATTCAAAAAAATGGTGTCACATTTGGTATCATTCATTCTCTAGCAAGGAGCGCTTCTTTATAAAGCTTCGTGCTTAAGTACTGTAATGAGGGGTCTGATGGTGCTCAATTTATGCACAAATTAAAAAATACATATAAAAAAAAGAAGAATTTAACATTAAAGCACTGAAATGCTTATAATGTGGGTGCCCACCTGCAAGAATAAACCACAATGGAGCGGTGAGTAAGTAAGATGTTGGTGGGGGTCTTTCATATTGAATGCCTTTGAGATACAACTGGCTAGACCAAATATTAAAGGTAGCTTATAGAAAAAAACTAAGATGGTCTTTTAAGGCTTTTTTAGGCCACGTGCCCGAGTAACTTAAGGTATTAATTTTCCAATTTTTGCATATATATTATAATAATATATAATAAGACATTATTATATTTATATTATATTATAATATATTATACATTATATTGGTATAATATTATATTACATATCGCAATAATATTATATAGTATAACTATTCTAAGTATATATTTTTATATAGAATTTTTTTTCAGCTTGTCCTACATATATATATATATATATGTATCTTTTCTACGCTTTCTCTAGAGAAATACTAGTAATTTGCTGTGAAGGTGGAAGGCTTTTTAATTGCATAAAAGGCAGTGAAGTGTTATAAGCTTTGATTAAGCAGACAAAAAGCTGTGTCTACTTGAGACACAATTCTTACTAGTTATACCACCTTGAGCTGTTTTACATATGCTGACCACCACCTTCTGACATCGAGGAGGTTGGGAGTACAGAAAGGAAACTAATTAGGCTACTTTATAATACTGCTTCCCTGAGTTTGGTAAAATGAAATGTATTTTCTATTTAAGCATGACATTTGGTAATAATTTTAGTGTAATGTGAACAAGTTTTAAATCTAGGAAAAGCAACAAGGAGTAATTATGGCTTATCACTTGTCAATCTAACCTGTCAGTCACCTATAAGGAATTGCTACATTCCTAGTTAAGTAGCCTGATAATTAGCACAGGTTTGATTTTGATCCACTTTAATTTCTGAGAGGTAATTTTTAATGTTTTATAATTTTACATTATTTATTATTGGGGCTGATATCTAAGCAAACTGATGCAGTAACACTAGATAAGCAGTAACTTCTGCTATGACCTCTAAATACATTGAACTTTGAGTTGCAGAAGGTCATCACAAAGTTAAATGGGAACAGAACTGATAACAAAATGTACTAATTCTAACCTGTCCATTTTTTCAACTGACTGGTACGGGAGAATGGTACGTGGTTGATGATGACTATTGCAGGTGTCCTGCTAAAGTGC